AAAGTATAAGAACACGAAGTAGAAAAAGTATAAAAAGTATAAAAATATAGGAGTACAAGATAGAAAAAGTATAAAAATATAGGAATACAAGATAGAAAAATAAAAAATATACGAATATTATAATTAATAATATATAAAGAAATTGTGAAATGTTTTAAGTTCTTTACATGATTTTTATAACTTCATGAAATATTATGAATTATGGAATTAACGAATTTTTATAACATAATTGTAACAATAGTAATACAAAGTAGAAAAATAAAAGTATACAAATACTATAATTAATAATATATAAAGAAATTGTGAAATGTTCTAAGTTCTTTACATAATTTTTATAATTTCATAAAATATTATAAATTATGAAATTAACAAATTTTATAACATAATTGAAACAATATTTATATTATTTTTTTCAGAAATTTTTAGAATAATATATATGATCTATAAAAAGTTAGAAATATTTAAATACTTATAATTGCTGTTATATATTTTATATTTAGAACTTATACAGTTAAATCTCTTTATAGTCATCACTTTCAGAAAAGCAAAATTTAATGACTATAGAAAGAATGTGATTATAGAGAAATTTTTTTTACTATATTTATATGTAAATAAAAAGCAAAATAGGATAATTATAAAGAAGTATAACTATAAATAGATATGACTATAAAGAAATTTGACTATATTTATTATTTTTCAAATATATAATCTGTCTTTTGATATAATCAGTATTATTTTTAATAATTATTTATTTTAAATATTAATTTAATTATTAAAAATAAGAATATCAATTTGATTTTCTTTTAATATTATTAATATTACTTTTTCTGATTTATAATATTAATTTGAAAGTTTGAAAAAGATTTTAAGAAATTCAAATAATTCTGTTATTTTAAAATTATTAATTTATTATAAAGTCTATTTACAAAAAACTGTAAGTCATAAGAGAAATTTTTTATATTTTTAAATGATAAAAATTGAACTATATAATTATTTATTAATTTTTAAGATGAATTTTGAATTAAAATTTTTAAAGCTGAAAAATATGAAGTTGCAAATATAATTTTATTAATAAATATGACAATTTTTATAAAATAATAATATAAAAATATTATTAAAATAAAGATAAATAATATTTATGATATTTATTTTTTCTTTTCCTAATTATACCAGAAAAATATTAAGTTTAACAAGATTAATAGCAAAATAAATACATTTTTTTTAAAATGTGTTATTATTTAAACTTTTTATTGGAAAAATAATATTGATATCTTCTTTTGCTTTATCCAGTATTTTTGTATAAGATTTACAATATATTTTAACATTGAATTTATTTATTTTTTATCAGTTTTGATAATATAATTATCTAAAATAAATAATAAAAGTTTTATTGTGCTTCAAAAAAAATTTGATAATTTGAATGTTGAATAAACATTAAACAAAATTGTCCATGTCCAACTATATTATTTGATTGGACAGATGATAATTTCACTGAACAATCATTGGATATTGAACATTTGGACATTGAACAAAATTGTCCATGTCCAACTAAAGCTCTGTTCGGGTTGGGTCGGGTCGGGTTTGAGGTCAACCGAACCGAGAATTTCGGATCGGGATCGGGATCGGGTCGGGTTTGATCCGAAAATCGTAAAATATTTTTTCGTTAATAACTTTTGTTTTTACTAAGACATTGTATTTTGTGTCTTAAGTAGAGTTGTTTGGAATGTAATTGTGTATATATCCACCAAATTTCGTTTAATTTCAATTAATATTGAACGAGAAATAATGATTTTTAGGCTGACCCGAACCGGAATTTTCGGGTCGGGTTTCGGGTTGACCCGAACCGATTGGAGCTTTATGTCCAACAATATTGCTTGAACATTGTCCATGTACATCACTGGGTATAAGTGTTGATAGTTGTTGTTTTAACTTCTGTTTTACAATTAGATTTTTATCTAACTTGGTCATCGTATTGATCGAATTTAACAAGTTCTTCTATGTCGAGATCACATGACTCTGATCGTGAAGATTCTTCACGGGTTTCAAGATCACATGCTAACTTTGGTATGTCGACTTGGAGTTGCTATGACAAGGTGCAAGCTACTG